GAAGTGGGGTCCACAGTGTAAGTTGGAAATGATTCCTCAGCAATTTCTGTTTTCTGGTTGTTAACTTTTTCCACTCTTCACTTCCTTCTTCTGGACTCCAATTCCTGCTCCTACAAACACAGAGCAAAGCCAACATTAGTCTTGGGTCTTTATTATTTGAGTAAAAAGAATTGATTTTTGTCACAACTGAATATGACCTGATAGCTACACGAGAGATTTGATTAATAAATGTTTTAAGTATGTTGGCAAACAACCCCTGAAAAATCCAGTAGGACCAGAAGGAGAGAGTTTAATCAGCTTTTTGTTAGGATGAAGTTTTTTTTCTTGTTAGGTTAAAGTGATGTTCAGATACCTTCTCCCCAGCCACATTGCAGACTGTCAAATACCCATTGTTTTCTGAGAATATTATTAGTTTTTTATTTTATATCTATAGGAAACATACATCACAACAAAAGCAATCTGAAATTATCTCTTACTTTATAACTCACAGTTTGTAAACCAAGTCAAACTCTTTTTCAAGCTGCTTTTTGATTGTCATTGTAAAAACCTATGTAATATCCACTAAGAGGAAAAACAAATCAGAAACTTTTATTTCCTACTGTATCAGAATAATGCATTTTTTGATGACCAATCATAAGTTTTGTCCTAAAGAATGGGTGAAAATAGGAAAACAATTTTTTAAATAATAATGGTTAATGAGAAGTCAGCAGTATAACTGGCTCTATAAAAAATATTATAATTAAAAAGCCTGGTATAGGGTGGCGCCTGCAGCTCAAAGGAGCAGGGCACTGGCCTTATATGCTGGAGGTGGTGAGTTCAAACCCAGCCCCGGCCAAAAAACTGCAAAAAAAAAAAAACATGATATAATCACAAAGCCAGGCAGAGGATTGGGTGGGATAGAATGACTCAGACCTACCAGCTATCAATGGAAAAGGAAAGAATTATTCAACAAATCATACTGAGATTACTGATTTTGAAAATAATTATCATGAATGACAGCATAGTATGTGTCTTAAATTGAAGAGAATAGATTTTTGCATTCCAGTACACTTGAATTAAAATAGGAGCTCTATCATTTACTTCCTTAGGGAGGTCAATTTTTCTAACTTTCAATTACCTTCAAACTCTTTATGTTCAATCTCCTTAAAATGGAGATGACACCTATTTCCTAGGGTTATCACGATTATTACTTAACTAATATTTGTAAACATAGCTGGGACGTTTTTCATGAGAAAATGAACCTGGGGGCCTTATATGAAGTGTTAATATCTATATCTCAATATGCATGACTTTAGAACATCGTTTATTTAACCATCAATCTTAGAAACCATAGCATTTTGTGCACACATTTTCTGACAATTGTGTTGAGCTACTCTGTATAGTAGGGTGCTAGTTACGTGGTGTTATCTAGAATTTCACTTAGGATTACAATATTGTTTTGCAATATGGAAAGCTAAGGTTGACCATTTGTAACTAATTTTTATGTTCTACTTATTAATTCATACAAGTTTAAAGCTGAAATGTTTACAATGTATTAAGAGTTATAATCAATTGATTCCTTTCTCATATCTTTGAAAGTATTATTATTTTTTAAATATAGAATAAGAGAGTAGTAAGAGTTTTTAGTGCAGCATAAATTGCATAATTCACACTATTGGCATCTTAGAGGAAGATGTGAGTTTTTTGCCTATTGATTTAACAGTCTCAGCAATAAGAGATATTTTATTTGACTATTTCATTTTAGAGTTCACTCTGTCACTTAAACTGGAATGTGTCACTTGGTCCTCACACTCCTGGGCTCCAGGGATTTTCTCACCTCAGCCTTTCAATTACCTAGGACTACAGTCATGCGTCATCATGCTTGGATAATTTAAAAAATATTTTTGTAGAGATGGGGTCACTGTGCTGTGTAGACTGGCCTCAAATTTCTGGCCTCAAGCAATGCTTCTGCCTCTGCCTTCCAGGCTGCTGGGACCACAGGCACGAACTGTGCCCAGCCAAGAGATATAATGATGTAGAAGCAAGAAATACGTTTGTTCAAAAAGTGCTAACAAATCATAAGCTTACTCACAACCCCACCTAATGCAGTGTCTTGCATATGGGAGAAAAAGATAACATAATTTTTGAAAGGATATTTGGCTATGAAAAGACAGATTCATTGAAGCATAGAAAATCCAGCTGTCTCATTTTCTTGCAGTAGTTTACTCTCAAGATGTGCGTCTACAGGGCTTCCTCTGGTGTAGTGCTCAGTTCCTCTAATCAGGGATGTACCCAGCACCCAGGGAGGGTGGCCAGGGGCAGTGAGCAGAAGGATGCAGGAGGATCCAAGTCCTCTCTTGAGACATTCCCGGTCCTACAGGCACCAATCACAGTACATTTCACTACAGACTAAATCCTCATGAAACCAAGTCAAGTTTCCCTAAAGCGTTTAATGCTATTTCATGTCAGGACTCAATATTCAGAATTTACTTTCAAGATGAGATGAGAAGATTTCAATTTTCTAAGAAAGGGTGGCAGTGATATGTAATTCCCAATTCTTTATTTCCTACGTGAATTTTCACAGCTTTTTTTTTTTTTTCTTTTTACTTTTCACTATCCTCCTATCTCCAGCAACTACGGAAGAGATCGTTTGTCTAGGCAAAATTCTATTTCAGAATTCTAAGTGTCTGAGCTAAATAAATTTAGTCTTAGTGTATGAAGGAAATGAAATTGTAATTTCTTAGTCGTTTTGAAATGTACCATTGCATTCTTGTACACAGTTGTGAAGTTGTGAGTTAATTAAAAAAAAAAATTGTCATTTCTCTGATTGCTGGGAACCTGCTCTCTTCCTTTTTTCTTGCTGTAAAAGTTACCACTCTTTGTGAACACCTGCTGCTTGTTTAAGGCTCTGCAATTTCAAGAAAGCCTTGGAGCAACAATCACAGCGTAACTTGCTTTCCCAATGTCAACAGACTATAATTAAGGGCATATAAAAGTTTGTGCTGTTAATTTGTTATTCCAGGTGAGATACTTGAAATGAGAGTAATAAAATGAGTCAGTTCAGAGATTCATCCTTATAAATTCAAAACACAGAGTCATTAAAACAAAATCTAGAACATTTTAAGAAAGAGAAAGCCTAGATCCTTTTTCTAGACTTGTTTTCCTGTGTCTATGAGTCCTCTTTCCTTTCCTCATCCCGTGTGGTTTTCACTTCTTGCCAAAGGCATCTGTATAAGAAGCACGCTGAGTATTTTAAGGAGAATTAGATAATTTCCCTGCATGCTTGCAGTCTATTTTATTTGGAAGTGCTATAGAAATAAAAATTAATAAGACACCATAAGCCTTCAATTCCCATTCCCTGCAACATATCAACTCCATACGATTTCTGTTTCATTCCAGGTTCTTATAGGTTTTATTTGTTAACTTCCTGGTTCCATTTGACATATTTCTCTTGTTGCTTCTTAACAATGAATCTCACGTACAGATTTCAAGAGAGCAAATTGTAAGTTTTTTCCTCAATGCATTACCTCATAGTAGAACTAAACAATGGCAGATGGATAGCTTTATTAAGGGAACCAGATTCTGATTGACATTTCCATGAAAACATTTAGAGTAGGATTCTAAACTTGGGTCCAAAGCAGAAGATCTCTTGTAATTATTTTTAAAGCTTTCTTTAAAAAATGAGAAAAAAATATAATTGCTCTAGATGTAAACATCCATATTTGCATGAAGGGCACTTGAGCATTCTGATCTGGGTTTGTTTTATATTTAATAGTACTTCATTAAAACCACTGATTTCTTTTATAGGATCACATATAGTTTTTGAATTAGACTTGGGTTAGATTGCTAGCCCTACTTTCCATAAACTTGTGACACTGGTGCATTGGTTTCCTGTGGGTACGATAATAAAGTATCACAAACAACAAAAATTTATCCTCTCATAGTTCTGAGGGCCAAGAAGTCCAAAATACATGGTATAGGGGTCAGCAGGGCCACGCTCCCTCAGAGGCGCTAAGGGAATCTTTCTTTGCCTTAATTTCTGGTGGTTGCCGAGTTCTCCTTGGCCTTCTTTGCATCAATTCCAAAAGGCCACTGTGATATTATTGTTTAGTATCCCTGAAGATGTTAATGCATGTTGTAAGCCATATAGCACTCAGAAATCCCTCAGGTCTTACGAAACATGGCATGTGGCAGGAATAAGGAAATAAATTAGAATGGCCATGTAGAACAGGAAAGCTGGACTTCACATCAGAGATCCATGTTACAAAGTAAGGGAGTAATGGCTTTTCTACTCCTCCTCCATCTTTTCTGCTTAATTTTGGTTCTATCAGGACCTGGGTCTTACTTGCGAGGGACTGTGGGTCCAGTCTCATCAGCCACTCACTTGACGGCCACATTCTGTCCTGCACCAGACATCTCTTGGCTTTCTCTTAAAGGCATTCTTCTCTTTCTTTTACTTTCAAAGGCTTTTACCTTTAAGTATTGTGATTCAAGAAAGAAAAGAAAATTTCTAAGTCTCCTCCTTTAACTTTTGCCTCTGAAATAGTCTCTACTCCATCATGAGCTTATGACCTCAGAGCAGTCAGGGGACTCTCCCAAATCTATTGCATGACAGCAGAGCCAAACAGTGACAGACAGGTGCCTTTTTGGAATAACTAGCTACCAGGCTGTCTTCCAAGGAAAGTGTTTCATGTGCTATCGTGAATTTAGACTCAAAGTATAAAAACAGTTTTACTTTAAAAAATGGGGCGAAACGTAATTTGGATAATGACGCCTCTGAAATTCAGTCTGAATTGGCATGCTGGCATAGACTAATCAAGTGGTGGATAACTGAATTCCTCTTTTAGTTAGTCCTCTTGAAACAGAGCCGTAAGATAGGTATGATATTGTTCATCCAACATGAGAAGGAAATCAGCATTTTGTTTATATTTTATCCCTGTTACAACACACACAAGTATTCCCAAGGTAAATGTTTTGAGATTGAAGTTTTATTTGCCTGTTTCTAAACTTTTGGCTTTTAGATTTGATTGAAGCTGTAGAGGAAATCCTTCTGGAGCTCCCGAAAGATGTCAGTGTTTGGGGGATGAAAGATTGTGTTCCACAAGGCATCATTTCCCTCAAAGAAAAACTGAGCGCTTCATCCGACAAGCCTGTTCCACGCCGCCACCACCTCGTCTCAAACCTCAAGACTACCTGTCTTTATATTTTTACCTCTGGAACAACAGGTATGACCCAATTCTTTCTAAGGCTTAAAAAAGATGCAACAAATTTTCAAAGCAACAGTACTGGGCAACTTCCTGCCAACCATCCGAAATCATCTGTGCAAGAACACAGAAGGTCCTCAGACCCTAAAACTTTCAAGCATGGATGAAAAGCTCACTTTTTTTCAGTTTAAGTTGATAAATCATGTTCATTTGCCTTTGTCTCATTTGAGATGTTGTTGAAGTTTGGTCGTACAATGGGCACTGGGACATCTGAACACAGTGGTCCATCCCCACTGTTGCGAGTATATCTACTTACCTTCTTAAATCAAGATCTCTGCTACCTTCTCTGATTCTCAGGTTTCTGATATCTAAAATGAAGAACTTCATTTAAATAGTTCTAGCTATTCCCCAGGATTTAGAAGTCTATGAATCCACTTGAAAACAATTCTCCATATTCCTGTGTAAAATGTCAAATCCTAAGCATGATCTAGTTACAACTAAAATTTAAGCACTATAGTTTGCATTCCTGATTTTCCTTAGGGTAATTGGATCATGTAGCCAAGAGCAAGTCTCAAAGGCACTGAAGGTTTGGGAGAAGATACAAAATATGATCAAGTAACTGAACTTTCTGTTTTTAAGGCAAACAACAATAACAGCTACAAATGAAAAATAATGAAACTTTGAGAATTCAAAAGAAATGTTAAACATAACTGATTCTTGGGAAAAATTGAATAGTATTAATAGTAGGCTAAATAGGCTTTTCTAATTAGTTTGAAGATTATTGGGATTTTTTTCAGACATGTTAAAAATATTCTGTTACTGTAATTCCTTGTAAATAGGTAGTCTTATAAGCAACTACTCTTCAACAGTACATTTTTTTTCTTTTTCTTTTTTAAGTACTTGGTACCTAATAATGATCTCTCATAGACTGGATAATAGAATACATTTTGTATACTATGACTAGAACAGCTTTGATAAACGAGATAGAAAAAGCTGATATGTGGGTGACTGCTCTGACCAGGCTCAGAGCACTTCTCCCTGAGATTCTCGAGGTTCCCTCATCAAAGAGGTCTAGAAGATTGAATAATGGCAGATCCAACACACAAAGATGAGTTCCAAAGATGAGAGAACAAATAAATGAGATAGAAGAAGGGAATGAGCAAAAAAAAAAAAAAAAAAAAAAAAGGAATAAAAAAGGAAAAGAGAAGGTGATGCCTGTGGCTCAAAGGAGTAGGGCACCAGCCCCGTATGCTAAAGGTAGCGGGTTCAAACCCAGCCCCGGCCAAAAACTGCAAAAAAAAAAGGAAAGAAAAGAAAATGTACATGTTATTATTTTCTTTGTCTAGAACTGGGAGACATGACTTTCAGACTGAAAAGACCAACACAGTTTCTGGAAAAATGGGTAAATAAGACCAGTCCTAGAATAAATCATCATGATGTCATATACCATTATAAGATTTCAAAAATTTCAAAAAAGAAAACAATGAAAATACTAGGTTGCATACAGAAGTTAAGAAGTCAGAAAGAAAAAAGATTTCTTATTATGTATAAGGAAAGTCAGAATATTATAGAGTACGGTCTCCAAAATCCCTGATGCAGCCCTACTTAGGGAGCTGTTGAAGGAGTACTGCTGATGCCATCATGGTCGCTTTTACAAAGCGTAAGGAAAATGTTGATGTATTTTGTGTCAATTGGTGGTGCAGTTGATACCAGCATAGCCTTGCTTTCTATTACACACAGATATACACACACACCTGTATTTCCTGTTCTTTTTTTTCCCTACCAGGTCTACCAAAAGCTGCTGTGATTACTCAACTGCAGGCTATAAAGAGTTCTGCTGGACTGTGGGCTTTCGGCTGCACTGCTGATGACATTGTTTATACAACCCTTCCTCTGTATCATAGTGCTGGAGCTCTTGTGGGAATTGGTGGTTGTGTGGAGTTGGGTAAGTTTTTGTTTTCATTTCTTTTAATAAGTTTTCAAAATAGTTAATAATTTGAACAAGTGTTCATTGAAGTTTGATGCTCTCAGCAGACTTCAGAGTGATCGCATGTATATCATGTAATTATAACACAATATTTATTAAAAGGACATCATATGGCATACTCAGAGTATTTTTGAAACCTAATAATGAGCCGTTACCCCGGGATTTGGCCATGTGGTGGGAGCTGGCTATTGACTGGACTTCTTCTCTCCTTGTGGTTGCTCATCTTCAAATTGCCTACCCCAGATTCCTTAAATGGCAGCAAGAGTGTTCCAGGGGAGCGCACATAGACATTGCATAAATCTTAAGGCTTCCGTTTGGAAGGCACATAAATTATTTCACCAGCATTCCATTCATCAAAGCAAATCCCAGGCTAGTCCAGATGCAAGATTCCGGGAATGGGGAAAGAGAACCCACCTTCTGAAAGGAGGGAGAGCAAATCTACATTGTAAATGTAGTGAATCTACATTGTAAATGTGAATGCTTAGAAGGAATCGTTGAGGCCATCTTTGCAAACTGTCTACCCTAGACACTCAATAAGGCAGTTTGTAGAGCTTGTGACTCAGTAGATTCTATTCATAATCTTGCAAGATTATATGTTGGCTACTATACCTAAAATATATATAAATAGAGATCATATGTTACTACTTGAATATGTCTAAAATACTTTAAAGTAATTTTTTAGAATACGATCAATGTCTACCATAAATAAAGATGAAAGTCAAGATAGTAAAATTTCCTGTGAATAGACATTGTTGTCAAATTGTGCTGTTAAAATTAGGTTCTGCGGCTATGGGTGAACTTTTCTGTTGATGCTGTCATACTAACTCTACCTTAGTAACTCCTGACTTTAAGATGTATTGAGGTTGCCTTGAATTTTCAAAAATAAATAATATGCACCTATTCAAGGTCAAAGTAAGTGAATATTCTTGGTCTTGATGAAGAAGGTCCATGAGTCCAGTGGTCATGTTCTGGTCTGTGATCCTTAGCTATGGTCATAGATTAATATTTGTAACTCCTCTGCTTCTTTTGACTGTTATTTTATCTTGTGTATTGCAATAAACACATTCCCAGTCAAAATACAGAATTACAACATTAGTATTTTTAAAAGAGTTACTGACAAGTAAGATCACTATTTTTTTTTCTTTTTTGCAGTTTTTGGCTGGGGCTGGGTTAGAACCCTGCACCTCCAGCATATGGGGCCAGCGCCCTACTCCTTGAGCCACAGGCACCACCCTAAGATCACTATTTTTAAATGCATTTGATGTAAACGATCAGTGATGAAGTAGAACAGCCTTGAAAATGAGCCAATATATTCCGGACAGAGGAACATCATTTGTGTTTCATGATAATTTTGCCCTTGAATTATTTTTCCCCCAAGGTCTGTTTTTGTCTTTTCTTATAGGGGCCACTTGCGTGTTAAGGAAGAAATTCTCAGCAAGCCAATTTTGGAGTGATTGTAAGAAGTATAATGTGACGGTGTTTCAGTATATTGGAGAACTTTGTCGCTACCTTTGCAAACAGCCTAAGGTAAGATCAATTATCATCAGAGAAAAAAGTATTTCAGAAAGAATAAGTATTGAGAGAGAAAAAATAAATTTTATTTCTTTGTTTATACTTCACATTCCTCTAGGACACAATTTAGCTGGCTTACAAAGATGCATGTAATAGTCTCACATAAAATAGTATAAAACAAGGCACTGTTATGCCTGAAATTCTCCCCAAAGTCCCCAGCAGACAAATCTGAGCAATGTTGCTTTTTATCTGATGTAAAAGCAAGAGGTGAGATTTATTCAAGCCCGGGCCTGGTCTCTCCTGGCATGCAAGCGGAGGAAGAACCCCGAACTTGGGGTAAAGCAAGTTTTTATGGGGTACAGAAAGCAAGAAGGGTAGGGTCTGTTATGAGTACACTCTTGATTGGTGGTTAGTGATTTCATTAGTAAAGGAGGATTTGCATTGGTGGTTGATGATTTCACTAGTAAAGGAGAATTTGGATTGGTACAGGTGAGGGGTGGGGGGGTCTCTTAACCAGGGGCTAGAGTTGGTGCAGCCTGATTAGGTGGCTGGAGGGAAATACCTGTATTTCAAGGCAATAGAAACTTGTTGTTTATTATGGCAGCTGTTTGCCTAAGGTGACTCAATTAATGGCTCAGTGGCTGTGCAACCTGGGGTGGGGGAGTCACCAGGGAGTGGCCCTGCTGGCTAGGAGTTAGGAACAGAACTTATGCAGTAAACAGTATGTGCAAGGTATGCAGTAAACAGTATGTGCAACCAGGGGTGGAGGAAGGTAATAGCAGGGGGGTTGGGGTGGAATAGATCTTATGCAGTAAACAACAAAATGGCATTGGTCTGGCCCTTTCAGCACAGAAAATGAAAAGCAAGACTGATCCAGGAAAGTACCAATGCGGTTTGTATTGTAGAAGGAGAGGATAGATAGACCTGTAATCCAATCCATGTTGATTTTAGGCTAATTAAAGTTCCTATAAACCTACCATGCTGTCAGATTATGAAATTAAATGCATGATATGTATACTGAGAGCAATTATTGCAAGGATAAAGTAATGTTTCAAAATACTGTTCTTAAAAAAAAAGGAAAAATTAATGACCCTGATTATACATGTTTTTCTTTTTTTTTTTTTTCCTTTGAATATAAGTTATTACATCAGGATATTTTTTGTTTGGTTTTACTTTAAGTTATAAAAAAATGCTTTAATTTGTACTTATCTCTGCACCTAAAACAGTCATTTCCACTTTCTTTTGATCAACTACCATCATCTGAAAAACAAGTAAGTAGAGAGATTTTCCACAGCCTAGAGTTACTGACTTGTTTGCTGTTTATTCTCAGAAGTTATTTTCCTTTCCCTAGAATCATTTATCTCTCTGAATTCTTATTTTTTAACTTTATGATTTCCTAAAAATTCTTGAGGCTACAAATAAGTGACTCTTTCATAATCAAATCCGCACCAGGCCCTTCAAGAGCGGCAACAGGGAGATGCCTCTCCGCGTGGGGTGGGACAGCAGAAACTTTCCCTCTGAGACCCACCTTTCCTAGACTGAGGGGAACTCTCACCACCTTTGTCATCATCGCACCTGTAAAGGCAGAGATGGTGGGCTGGGATAACTTCTCTTATTTTCTCAGGCTAAAATATGGACACATAATTCTTTTATTAATTACCCACAGCACTGCTGAGACTAGGCCAGAGGCATTTAAATAATACCTATGAAAGGTGTAGGCTTACATAGGGAAGCTGGACACAGAAAAGACTGTGAAATTACATGATATGATTTACAAATTGCTTTCATTTTGTTTTGTTTTGTTTTGGTTTTTTTTGAGCTTGGAGTTCACCATCTTTATCTTATTTAAATAACTCTGCCGAATGTGGTCAACAGCCATATCTAGGATGCTTCTAGGGATAGGATTATATATTTCACTCACTCATTTATTCAAGTAACAGTGTTAAGTTAGGTATACAGGAGCATACAGGACAGATCAGATTGCTGTTGTAATAGAAGTTATACCCATGGGGGCAAGGGGAGAAAATAAATCAGCAAATACATGAGGAAAAGCAAATACAGACAATTATGAGTGTTATAAAGAAATAAAACAGGATGAGGTGATGGGGAATGATAGAAAGCGGGAGTGGAGCATGGCAAATTAGACTGAGTGGTCAGGGGAGACTTCATGGAAATGGTCACCTACGAGCCGAGGACCTGATATGACAAGTGGGATCCAGGCACAAGAAAGCCGGGGGATTGTGGTCATGACAGAAGACATGGAAAAGAAAGGGGCCCAGGAAGGACACATCTGAAGTGTTTGAAGAGAAGGCAAGGATGGCTAGGTCACCCATTGACCAAGTCTTATAGAACCAAGATCCCTCTAGTGTTGGAGGACAAATTTGGATGCTACGTAATATTCCCATTGGTGAATTTGACATAAAAGGAAGGAAGAACTAGACTAAAAAAAAAAAAAAAAAAGGTACTTTGGTACCTATTTTGAAGGAAAGCCAAGAAGACTTGTTAAATTAGGGGTAATGAGTGAATGAGAGGGAAGAATCCAGGATGAGTCCCGGGTTTGTTACATTCATTCTATAAATGAAAAACTAGGATAGAGGCTGTCCAAGAAAGCAGGGTAGCTGGCTGAAATCACAAAGCTTATAAGACACCGTGGTTGTGTAGGCTGGAATTTCACACTCCCCAACTCTAAGCCACAAAGAAACTAACGAATTGCCTGATGTCACGTGGCGAATTAATTGAAAAGCTAGAATTCAGTCTTTCATCTTTTCATATAAATTTCTTGTGGTTTTTGTCCCATTGGCAATAAATAATCTAAAATTAAAATTTCTAGTAGTTTATCATTTGCTGAAGATTCTAGTCTTTCCTAGGAAGCCTCATTAGAGAGCAAAGATCGACCAATTCTGACCCTAACTGTATGTGTCCATAGCAGGGACGTGAAGGATAGACAATTTAAGGAATAGGCAGTGTGAAAAAATAGCAAATAATCAAATAAATAATTCTGGTTATAAATTCTTCTATATGTTCAATCACTTTTGAGCATGGAAAATTCTTACTAACATACTACATCTACAATAACAACATATAAGTCCAAAGGAGGACAGACAAAATACTTTCAGGGTTTCTGATTTTATATCTTTATTGGTAGTTATTTTTGTGACAAAATTGTTAACATTTTTATATTATTTATATTATATTATTACATTATATTATTTAACTTTTAATGTAAAATAATCATATCTATTTAATGAAAAATCTGTGTTGAATGATTTTTATCGAAGAACTATTTTTCAGTATCCACAAAAAATAATTTTTAATGACATTCCTGGAAATATTTCCAAATTATTATAAGTATAAGCCTTACAACGGCTTGTTAAACTGATGGCTATTATCTGTGAAGGTAGTGCCTGCCCCAGCGCAGTCTCAGGAGGCAATGTAACACAGACTTTTACCCACAGCTGGAGCCTGTGCAGTCTTAGCCTTGTTGGCCCTTCCTCTTAAAACCTCCCCAATCCTTTCTTAAAAGAGGCCCCTACTCTCTCCCCCACCATTCCTTTCCTGCTTCCCTACAAGAAAGTCCTCTTTGTTTATGGCTGTTTTTGTACTCCAAGATGGTCTGCCATCCTGTTTGCTTTTCATGTTACATTGTACCCTTTCTGTAATGTCTGTTTAACTTGCTGCCTACATTGTTTCAATGTATAATATTTGAGTGTCTTTGAACAAAGCAAAGTGTTGGAATATATTGTTGTTCTTATTAATACAAAGGGTGTGTTGCTGTGACACGTGAGCATGTGGAATTGTAAGTAATTTTTAGGAAAAAAGGTCTTATGTTAAATAGAATCAAGATGTAAGAATCATAATCCCTAACATATGTTATTTACATTTTAAACGACCCTTTAGGAATTAGGACACATTTTTGTGCATTAAATAGCTGGTTATGCGAAGCTAAAGGCAAAAAATAATTTTCCCCTTTGTTTTCACTTTTTTTTTTTCTGGTCTCCATCTATCAAAAAGCATTCTCTTCCTAAAAAAGTCAGGTGGATACACAATTACCTGCTTTTAAACAGAATGGCTAGCATTTGACTTTTTTTAGTCATATAAAAAGACTATTCAGCCTGGATATATTCGAGATTCTCTAAGTGGGACTGAGCGCATGCTCTGGAAGAAAGAGACTTTGTTTCTAGGAGGGCATTGTTAGAGGCCTGCTCATGAGTCAGTGAGTCCTTGACTTGGTCTGAGGTAACTACAGTTCAACCACCGTCCCTCTGGATGGCACCTCTGCAGACACTGCTGGGAAAATAGCTCCACAGAACCTTTCAAAGAAAGGACCAGAGCCTTGTTCAAGTTGATTTTACTCATTTATTGGTATCATCACATCAGTTTATGAATGGTACTGAAAGCCAGAAGGAAATGTCTATTGAAACCCAAGACCTTGGGATCTCTGTATTAAAAGTTCTGACCCACTCAACAAATTCTCTTTCAAATTTTAAAAGGGATTTTAAAGGATTGAATAACAAACAAGTATTTTCTGTGTGTGTGAAAGTGGTTGACTTTGTGTGTGTATAAACATGTAAGCACCTGACACAACTGAAATATTCTATATACTTTTTCAGATTGATTGAGTAAAGGGCAAAATTTCTAATGAGTTCTTACTGAAATCATGGGGACAGGCTTGGTAAAACAGAGCATGGGCCTTTGAGGCTTTTTAAAGCTGGTTCCTATCCTCCTTCCTTTCTCCCTCATCTCCTCTTCCTTTCCTCACTCCCTCCATTCTTTCCACAAATATGTTGTAAACACCTCCTATGCACCAAGTCTGGGCACAGGTAATGCTCTAGGCAAGAGGGTGCAGCAGAAGACAGAACAGGCAACACCCCCAGTCTTCACCGACCTGGCATTTGAATGAGTTCCAGTTCTGTCTCTATTTGGTATGTGACCTTGGATCTGAATTTTATTATCTCCATATGCAAAATAGAGAGAATGCATCTCATTGTATTGAGTTATTGCAGTGATTAAATGTG